GCACTGGTTTAAAATGTCGAGGAAATTGTCTGCTGATGCTTTGTTCGGCATAATGGTCAATGTGTCATCAACAAATCTCTTGTAGTACGTGGGCATCTTGCCTTTACGCTCCAGGGTTTCTTCGATGCTGCACATAAAAGCGTTGGCTAACAGAGGACCAAGGGGCGAGCCCATAGCAACTCCGTCGATCTGTTCATATAGCCGGCCGTTAAACGTGAAAAGTTGGTCCTTAGTTGCCGCTCTAAGAAGATCGACAAGATCCAGCTTATTGAGATTAAGATGGTATGTTTCATTAAACCAATTATTAATGAAAGCCTTATCGGCAAGTAGTTGTATGGTCTTCTCCCAGGGTACGTTGGTAAATAATGAAGAAACATCATAGGAAACCAGAATATCTCCACTGTTAATAACCATTTCGTGGATCTCCTTCACGAGCTCAAAGGTGTCGCTTATCATATACTGATTTGTGGCGAGAGGTTTTAGTTTGTCATCTAGCCATTTGGCGAGGGCGAAATTGTAGGTCTGTGTGGCTGACAGAATAGGTCGCATAGCTAACTCTCTCGTGTGTTTTGGGCAAACCATAAAGATGGGCCAGCCTGGTACCTAATGGACGGACAGACTCTGCAATTGCAGTGGGTAGAATTCGGCGAACAAGTGATTCTAGCTCCTTCTCCTTTTGCAATAGGGGGTGATAGTGTTTCGGTGGTCTACCTCCACGCTTTGGTCTCTAAGGCTCTACTATCCTAAATTTAGTGGCATTGTTTATGGATGCGTCTGCCAGTAACCGTAGGTATTCATCCTTGTCGAAGACCACGACGCCAGATCCCTTGTCAGGTTTTGTTACGACTATGTCCTCTCACCTCTTCAATTGATGAATAGCTTTCAGGAGTGTTTGTGGAGGTTTAGGGCCTTTTCAGTGAATATAATTCAGCGGCACCGAGCGTAGAGGCTGCAAGGTCACGAAATTCTTTACCATGGAGACGGAGAGTAACAGCATGCTCCCTTTTTTGGCCACCCAGCTGCTCAACAAATGTACACATGTTGAGACCAAGGTGTACGTCAAACCTACAAATACGGGCCTTTTACTACATTACAAGAGCCATGTAGATGATCGTTACAAACGTGGGTTATTAAAAACTATGCTTGATCGTGCATTTCGACTTTCATCTAATTGGCGTTATTTCTCTGAAGAATGCGATCGACTTAAATCAGTATTTTCTC